CTAACCTTTTTACTTACTGAGTCTGATTATATTTGCACAATTGTTAATATAAAACTAGACTTGTCACAACATCAAACAAAAGATTTTATGTAAGGATATAGTCAATAGTTGTGCTTGTCATGAGAAATTATTAGTAATAGATACATGGGACACATAATTGAAAACTGTCAATAAACGATACGAAGAACACCTTTAACTATTTTAGGTATTTTCGCTTACGTTTTTTCCGAGCAGTATGACAAACGGATGCAGAATGTTTCATTTGAGCTTTCTTCAAATCAAAACAGATCGAACAAATATGAAGTCTTGGACACTTTCTCATTTTACATATCTTCCACTGACTGTTATAATTGACACAGATTTCTTGATGGTCACGTATCTTTTCGACAGTAGTTGTTGAGTTGCTCTTTGTCAAATGTTTGTTTGCGAGAAACGAAAAATCAGCAAATAAACTTAGATGAGGCATTATTGCCACATGATGACGAATATCCGCTTCATAAGCTAACATAAGCTTAATTGGAGGAGATCCTTCTCTGTAGAGATTAGATATACATTCGAAATGAGCGTCAAGTTCAGATTCTCGATGTTTGAATAGATAAATGATTGCTTTACTAAAGTAAGTAAATGCAACAGTCCAATCAGCAAACGATTCAATCGTCTTCTTTCTGTGATCAACAGAATGCCGTATATTTTCTGGTAAATAATCATTTAAATCGATGTCATCACTATTGATTAACAGTTCCCATTGATGAATACTACTTATTTGAGGTTTGTTGACATCGGCAATAAGTTGAGACATCAATGTGTCCTTATCTTCAATCCATTTCCGACGAATACATGCGGTCTTAGCAGCTATTTCGTCTTCTCCTTCTATCAGATTATTGCTTTCTGGAGGAGTAGTAGAACAACCAACTAGTAGCAGTTCTTCTGATGACATTGAAGATGTTCTTAACGATGATGGTAATGATTGTTGAATATTAGCTGTACATGATGACGGATGAGTTAGATATGTGTCTGATGCAGAATAGAAATCAAACAAATTGCCACTGATAAAAGCATCAAATTCTTGAGAAAAAAGATTAGTAGTTATTGTCGTTGCTATTTGTTCTAAAGAAAGATTGATACCTATGTTACATAATGTTCAATAAGTTTCACTTTATTTTGATCAAATAAATGTATGGTCATTTTTTTATCATCGATAAGCTTGGTACTTTTCTAAGGAAAATATGTCGAGTACATTGAATTGTGAATAATTTTTCTTGTTTTTCAATCTTTTAAGTATCTATTTTCATCTGATCTTGTTAAGTAGATTGTAACGTTAGCAAAACTTTAGATTCTAATCGTTTATCATTCTGCATCCCTTACAAAAATTGCCTCGCTTATTTATATCGGATATGAGAACTTTCTCACAAAAGAACAAATCTTATAAGAACAGACCTGAATCGATCATTGATTGTTCAGTAGACGATGTTAGCAAGTTATTATCCAATTGAAGAAATAAATTGTTTAAATGAGTATCTATATAGTTTTGAATGTTTAATTCATGGAAAGGTTTCATATCAATTTTAACAAAACTATCTCGTTCTTGACATGTACACGATGAAGTAAGTTGACCGAAAGGTACCCATGAGGGTAGTGCAAAGTTGACTGATTCAGTTACATTAAAGCCTCCACTGAAACCCCAATGATAAACTCGAGGAAAAGTGACAATAATTTCATTAGGATGTTGTTCAGTTTTATAAACTGGAATTTTATATAATTGAAATAGTTCATTTGGATTTAGAAAGAGATCTTTATGTCGCAAAGATGCCTGACAATGAGACGTATCAAGGATATCAGCGTGTTGAAGACATTGTTCCAGTTGATTCGCATATGAAGATGGTATAAAATACCAGAATTTAGATGATCCTTCATGCATATAATTCATTGAAAAGAGATCATTTTCTGCAGTATGTAAAGCAAACATTGAACCAAACATTCCAATATGGAGAAATGGTGATGTAATACCTGTGAGAAAATACGTAAGAATTTTATTATATAAGTTGAAACAGTCATATTTTGATCGATGCTTTTTTATTCTTCCTTAATTAACACTATTAAACGTTTTAATTACCTGTAATACGTTGTGTAGTTAGAGAAAGAAGAGATTTGAATGATATATCATTGAGATTGAAGATTGTTTCCGATCGTAGAAAAAGACTGCAATTAATATTATTAGCATAATGAATGGGACGCTTTATAATATGACACGAATCGATCATTTTCCAGAATTCAGATTCAATATCGGTGACTTTAAATGGAACTCGATTTTGTGGACGATGTGCATGGTCAATAAATGTCTTCAGTGATATTGTTTGCCGTTCACCAGAAGTTTTTCGTTGTGAATTTATGACACGAAAAACGAATGGTGAACGGCAAACAATATCACTGAAGACATTTATTGACCATGCACATCGTCCACAAAATCGAGTTCCATTTAAAGTCACCGATATTGAATCTGAATTCTGGAAAATGATCGATTCGTGTCATATTATAAAGCGTCCCATTCATTATGCTAATAATATTAATTGCAGTCTTTTTCTACGATCGGAAACAATCTTCAATCTCAATGATATATCATTCAAATCTCTTCTTTCTCTAACTACACAACGTATTACAGGTAATTAAAACGTTTAATAGTGTTAATTAAGGAAGAATAAAAAAGCATCGATCAAAATATGACTGTTTCAACTTATATAATAAAATTCTTACGTATTTTCTCACAGGTATTACATCACCATTTCTCCATATTGGAATGTTTGGTTCAATGTTTGCTTTACATACTGCAGAAAATGATCTCTTTTCAATGAATTATATGCATGAAGGATCATCTAAATTCTGGTATTTTATACCATCTTCATATGCGAATCAACTGGAACAATGTCTTCAACACGCTGATATCCTTGATACGTCTCATTGTCAGGCATCTTTGCGACATAAAGATCTCTTTCTAAATCCAAATGAACTATTTCAATTATATAAAATTCCAGTTTATAAAACTGAACAACATCCTAATGAAATTATTGTCACTTTTCCTCGAGTTTATCATTGGGGTTTCAGTGGAGGCTTTAATGTAACTGAATCAGTCAACTTTGCACTACCCTCATGGGTACCTTTCGGTCAACTTACTTCATCGTGTACATGTCAAGAACGAGATAGTTTTGTTAAAATTGATATGAAACCTTTCCATGAATTAAACATTCAAAACTATATAGATACTCATTTAAACAATTTATTTCTTCAATTGGATAATAACTTGCTAACATCGTCTACTGAACAATCAATGATCGATTCAGGTCTGTTCTTATAAGATTTGTTCTTTTGTGAGAAAGTTCTCATATCCGATATAAATAAGCGAGGCAATTTTTGTAAGGGATGCAGAATGATAAACGATTAGAATCTAAAGTTTTGCTAACGTTACAATCTACTTAACAAGATCAGATGAAAATAGATACTTAAAAGATTGAAAAACAAGAAAAATTATTCACAATTCAATGTACTCGACATATTTTCCTTAGAAAAGTACCAAGCTTATCGATGATAAAAAAATGACCATACATTTATTTGATCAAAATAAAGTGAAACTTATTGAACATTATGTAACATAGGTATCAATCTTTCTTTAGAACAAATAGCAACGACAATAACTACTAATCTTTTTTCTCAAGAATTTGATGCTTTTATCAGTGGCAATTTGTTTGATTTCTATTCTGCATCAGACACATATCTAACTCATCCGTCATCATGTACAGCTAATATTCAACAATCATTACCATCATCGTTAAGAACATCTTCAATGTCATCAGAAGAACTGCTACTAGTTGGTTGTTCTACTACTCCTCCAGAAAGCAATAATCTGATAGAAGGAGAAGACGAAATAGCTGCTAAGACCGCATGTATTCGTCGGAAATGGATTGAAGATAAGGACACATTGATGTCTCAACTTATTGCCGATGTCAACAAACCTCAAATAAGTAGTATTCATCAATGGGAACTGTTAATCAATAGTGATGACATCGATTTAAATGATTATTTACCAGAAAATATACGGCATTCTGTTGATCACAGAAAGAAGACGATTGAATCGTTTGCTGATTGGACTGTTGCATTTACTTACTTTAGTAAAGCAATCATTTATCTATTCAAACATCGAGAATCTGAACTTGACGCTCATTTCGAATGTATATCTAATCTCTACAGAGAAGGATCTCCTCCAATTAAGCTTATGTTAGCTTATGAAGCGGATATTCGTCATCATGTGGCAATAATGCCTCATCTAAGTTTATTTGCTGATTTTTCGTTTCTCGCAAACAAACATTTGACAAAGAGCAACTCAACAACTACTGTCGAAAAGATACGTGACCATCAAGAAATCTGTGTCAATTATAACAGTCAGTGGAAGATATGTAAAATGAGAAAGTGTCCAAGACTTCATATTTGTTCGATCTGTTTTGATTTGAAGAAAGCTCAAATGAAACATTCTGCATCCGTTTGTCATACTGCTCGGAAAAAACGTAAGCGAAAATACCTAAAATAGTTAAAGGTGTTCTTCGTATCGTTTATTGACAGTTTTCAATTATGTGTCCCATGTATCTATTACTAATAATTTCTCATGACAAGCACAACTATTGACTATATCCTTACATAAAATCTTTTGTTTGATGTTGTGACAAGTCTAGTTTTATATTAACAATTGTGCAAATATAATCAGACTCAGTAAGTAAAAAGGTTAG